GTCAGTCTGCTGTTGTAGTTATCATAACATAATTGTTGATGTAGGTTACAAATAAGTCTTATATTGATTTGAATTTGTTGTGCTATGCTGTTTTGTTCACTGTGGCTTTGCAGGCTAATTTTTGTTGTGTTTTGTAGGAAAACCAGCCTACAAAATGCAGGAATGTGATCCAGACTGGGCCCCTCTATCAACCTGGGTCATACAGAGTTTAAATCTGCTACCACAGCCAGATTTGATTGGTTAAGAGAGAGAGCGAGATCAAAACAGCCACGAAAAGTCTGCATCTATGTGCCCAAGTGTTGTATTAAAGCAATCAAGTGATGAATAACTGTTTTCCAGTATGTTGTTTTGATATGTTTTTTTTGTTGCATTGTTGATTTGTTTTTCACTGAAGCAGCTAATAAAGCTGATGGATTTTTACAATGTTGCCTCTTTCCTGTAAGATTCTATAACAGAATGAAACAATAATGCCAGTTATAAATAAAGACAATAAATTGAATGAATTATGAAAGACTCATTATTTTCTTCTATTAGATCTGAAAATGTTGTGTAACACTACAACCTGAAACGACAAATAGATGCGTTTGCCTGTACAGGAGATAAAGAAAAAAAAAATTAACAGCTGTGAGATGGAATCGTCCAAATCACCAAAGTAAACTGGACCTGGGCTTGTTGCAGGGATCTGAAGTTACTAAACATTTGAGTGTATGCACTCACACTTAGGACCATATAATAATAAATATTTGCGTGATCATCATCATCATCATCAACTTTATTTATAAAGCACTTTAAAACAACCACAGCTGACACAAAGTGCTGTACATTGGAACTGTAAAATAAAATTACATGAGAAATAAATAAAAACTAAATAAAAGAGTGAAATCATTAATTAAATAACTACTTCAATTAAAAGAGAAACTAAGTCTCACTGAGGTTAAAAGCCAAGGAATGAAAGTGGGTTTTAAGACGTGAAGGGGCCTCTCTAACGTGCACGGGCAAATTGTTCCATAATTTAGGAGCCACGATAGAGAAGGCCCCGCCCCCTCTGAGCTTCCTCCTGGATCTCGGTACCTCCAGGAGCAGCTGGTCAGCTGACCTGAGAGACCGACAGGGTGTGTGGGGATGAAGAAGCTCAGAGAGGTAAGGCGGGGCAAGACTGTGCAGGCATTTAAAAACAAACATAAGAATTTTAAAATGAACTCTAAAAGGCAGCCAGTGCAGAGGCCAGCACGGGGCTTATATGCTCTCTTTTTCGAGTCCTTGTTAGGAGTCGTGCAGCCGTGATGAAAGTCGGGCAGCATGCTAACGTCGTTACTCCACTCTGCTCGTATGAGTCTAACCCTTTCACTCCTTTGATTTTTCCCTCGTACTTTGTTTTTTTTTGCCTTTTTGTCAAGTCTGTCTTTGTACAGACCTGCCGTGTTCTCTGTCGTTTTGTACATAACTGTTTTTGTGGCAAATAAAATGCAAGTAGAGATTAAAACTGCAGAATTAATGATTACCGGTGCTGGAAATGCTAGCGCTTGATGCAGTGTTTTGATTTTGTTGCCACTCGTACCCACAATGCAATGTGCGAAAGTCACGTGGTCTGTCAATCCCTATACATAAACCAATCAATGCACTCAAAGTCTCAGGCAATTCCTTCGTCGCCAACTCATACTTCAGTCCCTCATTCAGGCTGTTCAAGAAAGCTCTCCGGAGCGCTTTTTCCTCCCAACCCGTCTCCTCAGCCAGGATCCAGAAATCCACAGAGAAGTCAGCGACACTCCTCCGGCCCTGCTTCAAGGTAAACATCCTATGTGCTGCACTATCAGGGTTAATTCCTTTATCAAAAGCACTTCGAAATTTACTCAAAATGTCAGTGTAAGAAATTTGAGGCTGGGAGTTTAGGACCACTTGCCCACTGCAAGGCTCGTCCTGTCATAAGCTGTACCATCAAGGTTATCTTGGAACAGTCAGTGGCATAAGCCTGAGGCTGCTGCCTAAAGATGAGGGCACACTGCATTAGAAAACCTCTACTTTTATCTAATTCTCCTGAAAATTTCTCCGGAATAGGCAATGTATGTTCACGCTGTGGCGTAGGAGGTGAGGGGGGCAGTGGGCAAGCAGCAGCGACACTAATAAGAGGTAGCGATGGTAAGGCCCCCCAGTAGCCCCAGGTGGGGATTGCAACATACCTTTTAGCTCCGTCACAGCCTGGATTAGCGCCGATTGCTCCTTGG